CATTTGCAGTGTGCATCTTTCCTGAAAAAAATTTAATAAATTTTAATGCTGTGTTTTAGGTTTAAACTTACATCCAACACCAATGGCACAAGGGTGGTCCCTACGTACCCTGAGAGTACCTCTTAAAAAATCCAAACAACCAACCCACTCCCCTAAATATCTTGCTATTTTGAGGCTGTTTAATGCTGGATTTAATTGAAGGAAGGGGAAAGGGGGAAAAAAAAGTTGTTTTTTTTTTTTTAAAAAAAAAAACAAGGAAAACAAAAACCCACCCACAGAGAAAACAGGTTTTTAACTAGATTTCATTACTATATCCTAGCTTATTATGCACAAACTTTTCTCAGGCCAAAAGTGAGTTGCACTGAAAAGGAAAAGTTACTGTACACAAGCTGTTACATGAATACCAGGAGAAAATAATCATATTGACCCAAGATACTATTTATAATTCATCGAGTAAGAAATTATCACAAAATCAATTTATCCTAGCTGGAAAGTAAGCATGGATGGTTTGTCTTGGCATTTATCTAACTGCAGGATATCATTAAGCTGTAACAACTTTCCAGTCCACTGGTATTCTTTCTTCAGTCTTTGCATTTCGCAAACCAGTAACTCCCACAGAACATGCATGCTGTTAAAGACTGCTCTTTTCACCAGCCTGCTAAGCAGTATTAAAATTGCATGGGCTCCTCCAGCCAACATATTGTGCTTTGCACTGACCTTTAAATTCCAAAGTCATTAGCACAATACAAATGACGGAAAAAAAAAAATATATATATATATATCCTGAAGGGCTCTACTATATAAAGACAGATTAAAATTTACCACACAAACATCCCATACTTGTGCATTTTCTGATTACAAAGGACATCTGAAAAAGATACAGTGATGAGAAAGATTATCACAACGTGAAATAATTTTTCAACGCGTGCTCTAAACCATACTTAAGAACACGTCTTCTGCCATGAAAGGTATCAGTATTTCAATGACATTAATGAAATCTATCCTAATGTTGCAGCTAAATTAATCCCAAACCTTTTAAAATGGTAAACCAACCCAAGATTAATGATGATCTAGTGAAACAGAAGCTAATATACACACCTGTCTGAAATTGTACTGAAGAGGCAAAACTCGTATGCCTGACTACTAATGGTCTGTTTCAAAAGGCGTATGTTTGAAAGGTGATACAACCACTTTTTGCAGAATGAAGGCTTCATGTGATGAATTTAAGTTCTACCTACGCTGGTATGGATTGCAAGTTTCAATTTAAAATTCACATATGTGATCACAAGTGGAATCCTGAACTCTGGATAAAAAACAGGCGTTTCCTTTGCAATGCTTGAAAAGTGCAATAGGGCTTCATAGTGGGATTTACAAACGCCAAGATCATTGAGCAGATATTTACCTTCTGCTTAGCACTCGTCAAAAAGAATCATTCTGTACAAGGTAATTTAGACCCCACACTTTCTCCTGAGCAAGTTAACGTATCAGGAAATGCCTTCCAACTAGGGATCTGGAAGATGCCTTTTCTGAGCAGCAGAAACCTCTGGCCTTCCTTAGAGAAAGAAAGATGGCATCCTTACAGATCTACACACACACACTTCAAAAGGAACACAGCCCCATCTTTTTCTCTACTAGATTAGTGTAAAAACTAGCTTAAGTTGTAGGGCAACTACATTCCAGTCTCTTTCATCTGAGAGGATTCAAATGTCCATAAAGGTAAGAAACAAACCTGCTGTTCTTGGATGGGAGAGAATCATCCCCAGTTCTGCCGGCATGTGTCACTGCATAAAATACCCGAATGTACTGGGTCAGTCATAGCATGTCCGCAGCTCAGTAGATAAACCAGCCAGCGGGGGAAATGACACACAGTCCCAGCCCCACCTCTGCATCCCTCTCCCATACAGACTTCGCATCCTCTCCAACAGAGGAGAGCAATTTCACACAACTGGGAAAACAGAAGCACCTGTTGACCAGAGGTGCATCCAAAGCTCACAGCCGGGCAGTTCTGGTTTTGGATTTGGGTAACCAAAATGAAACACGAATAGAGTTTAGACACCTAAGATTATTTTATTTTTTTTTTATCTAGTTCTTGGACTTCATCTTTCACTGCGAGAAAGAAAATGTTCTTTTTACCTCAGGGACAGAAGAGAGAAAGGGTGAAGGCTGTTGCCACAGCTATAAGGTAACATTAGGTGAAACAATGTTTTATTTGAACCCCTACTTGGATATACCTACCTCACACAAAGTGCTGCTGCAGTTCTACATCTTTTAATGAAGTCCAGACATAATTTGCTAAGTACAGAAAGACAATTACTATATTTTCTCAAAGGGTTATTTTCCTAAGTGCCACCGTCAGGCATAAAGATTAAAGGACATGTAGCGTGAGGAAGGTTATGCAAACCAACCTGTGCCTGCCCTGTACATATGCTGTGAACAACAGAGGGCATTTGCAATCATTTTTAACATAATTTTTTGAACTTGTTCCTTTGCAAAGGCCTCCAAACAAAGCACTGCAATTGCTATTAAATGTCTGTCATTAGTTTGTTGTTGTCTTAAACAACTTGAAAAAAAATATCAATTATGCATCTTTAAGTAACTCTTAAGAAGCAATCCTGCCAAAGGACCAACATACAGGCTAAAAATAAACCCATTCTGTTAGTAGAAAAAATAATGTTTTCTGAATTAGGGCATTAATATCAATCAAACTGAGTTAAAAACGTTTTAATATAAAGTTATGCAACACAGAAAATCTTGTTTTACCTTCACAGTCAAGGAATTTATTCTCGAGGAACCACACACACACTTCCCATCCCCCCATGAATCCTTTACACATTGCCAGGATAGACCTCCTCAGCCCCAAACTTCAATAAATTAGATAATATAAACTTAAGTATAATGAAAGAATTTAATCTCTTCTAAAGATGTTGACATGTTTTTCCTTGAAAGCACATTTGAAAATACTTCTAAACATGTGCACTGTTAAAAAGCAGCCTCTAACAAAGCAGTATTTATATCATTCCACATATGGAAAAGACTGTAAGTTTAATAAGTTATTCTCACCTGCAGGTCTATGATTGACATCAGATACTGTACATCTCAAAATTCAGTTCATGAACAAAATTAATGTCATTTATATGACATGAATTTAATATTACCTCCCCAGCCAGTTCATACTGTGATGAATTGGTTAGCTGGTGTTATTAGGACAGCCTACAACACAATGCCTTTGCTTATTTACAAAGTCTAAACCAAACTTGGTTGTCAAGCTCGTTAAGCAAAACTAAACACTCAAATCAGATTTAACCAACTATTTTAAGACATTCCTAGACATAATACCTACTGATAGAATGTAAAATACATGCTTTGGGCAATAAAATATATTGCATTGATCAAGGCTGGTTACATAAACAAGCTTAACCAACCATTGCAACAGAGGTCATCATATCCACTAATTTCCAAATCTCATGACCACAGATTTAGTCCTAATTCATAAACAGTATGTACAAACTAGAGAGTTAACTAAATTGTGATTTAGTTAACAACCAAGTTTAACGTAACTAGATGAAGTCGGATACCTTTTCTCTTTGCAAAACTAGTGAACACAGCAACAAGGAACAAATTCCATTCTTACAACTGAACAAATATGGAGAGGTAAAATACATATGGGAGGAGCGTGTATGTTTCAGACCACAAAAAATACAGTACATTGTTCACAAAGTTAGAAAAAAACCAAGCCAATTACCAAAATGTTTAATTGGTAAAAGTTTAATGTCAACTTACTTATAAAAATGAAAAAATATTTTAACATTCACCATACAATTGAGCAACCTGGCCCTACTGACTATCAGCTATAAGGAAGGCATTTAAGGAAATGATGGTTGTGTCAAAACAAAGGCTAACTTCAGGCATGTATGCTGCTTAAAAAAAAAGAAACAAAAAACAAACAAAATAAAAAACCAAACACCCCCCACCCCCAAAACCTCGCATTTGCAGGAAGCTAGATGCTTAGCCTAGTTTTTAAAGCTAATTACAAAATCCTCTTTCATACTGGTCCAGATGTCTTGACAATTTCTTCTTCTAACAGAACTGTCAAAAGAAAAGAATTTTTATGAGATCTTCATACAGCTTATTTCTAAATCTTTGCAAGAAGAAACAGAAATATGACAGCACGCTTAGGATATGGAAATTACTAGTTAAGGCATTTGCTTATATCATAACCATTCCTTCACTCAAGCATCTTTATACAGACACTTTTGTAACCACCACCTTACAGAAGGTTTTAAGGACAAATGAACTTTTCCAGGTATTGCATCAAACAATTTCTAAGCTTTATACATTTTTTTAAATATACCGGAGTACAGATTTGAACAATATTCAGTAGTAAGGTATGTAAAACAAGACGCATAAAAGATTTTTTTTTATGCAGTAATCTTAATATATGCTGTACAACATGGTTCTGCAGAGTTGCAGCATTCTTAACACAGAAAAACAATGGAATCAGGGTATGATGCTTCATATTGCATGCTATCATATCTTAAGGTGTAAATTTTACAGGCCTTCATTTCAGTGTCTCTCCACTTTATTGGACTACCAGTGTTACTCAGAAGCTTTTATAACTCCCATTTCCTGAACTTTAAAAAAAAATTTAGATCAATCTATCACTGCCCAACGCTTACCCTGGCACAGGAATACAGCAGCAATCATCTCTTTTTTATCCCCCCTTCTTTTCAGAGTAGAAAAAAAAAAAAACAGAAAAAACAACAAAAGGACTAAAAAGGCCTATTCCACTCATCTAAGCAGAAATTAAAAGTAGTTAGAATATCTTTGGGTGAAGAAAGAGAAAACACAGCGACTAACTTGCCACTACTTCGTATGGCCAAGCAGTATTTTAACTAAATGTCACGAGGACTAAGTCAATGTCCTGACTTCTCTCCCCCTTTGCCACTGCCCTACACGTGTGATCTCACACCTTCAGTCAAAAATACTTTTCTAATCTAAAGCTACTTTGCAGTATCAACACATAATATCATTAATGGGCTAAGAAGTAACCAAAACTCAACAGAAACTCACTTGTCATTTCCTGTAAACCAAAATTAAGCACAGAGCCTGGCTCTCTGCTATCAGACACAGAGAGCAGTCTTACCTTCCATCTGTTTCCACATTCATTACAGACAACAAACGTTGTCATGGGTTCATCAGCACTGCGGGTTTGAACCTTTGGCAAAGGCAAGAGCCAGAGCAGAAAAGGAAAATTATCATCTTCAACTTTTGTTAGTATGTGTTCAATGTAAAGGTTTAAAAATCAAATGTTAACGTTAAGGAAACATATTTGCATAAAAATACAAGCTAACTTTCTGTATCGATTGAAACTGGTTTTTTGTCTAGACTATAAAGCGATTATAAACTTATGTTTTGACAGATTTAGTAGCACCAAAATATCCATTTTGACACAGAAACTGTTCATATACTTCTAAGAAAAGATTCTGCCATAAAACTACATGTTCATTACAGCTTTACATATATTTACTGATGCAAAGGCTTAAAAGTCTCATGAGTCAAAAACAGCTTTCTACTTAAAGCATCTGATATACAATATTAAATTATAAATGCAGCTGATCCTATGATCAAAATTACATGCCCTGAAGTGCTGCTAAACAAACTAAAACCCTCCTTCTTGCACATATTTCCTAATTAAAATAGAAAAGAGTTGTAGCAACGTGTGTAAATCAGGGTCTGGTGTTAGTCAAATAGTAGATTATATATATAAATATATATGTATATATATTTTATAAGTATGTATGATTATTTTCTGCTATTTATTCCTTCTGTAAAGAAAAGTTTACACACACTAAAAACAGTAAATTAGCTCTCCTCCACATAAAACCATATTAATAAGATATAATAATAAGAATTCGTAAAAACTCAGCATTGAAAAGAAACTAATGTTTCAGGCTGTATAGACACTCAGCTTGGATTTACAAAAAATCTTTGGTGAATTGCTAAATTAATACAACAAACATTCTTTCTGTAAGTACACCTAAATAGATCCAATTATCTTCAAATATTTTGTAATTTGCTAGCATTTTGTTAAAAGTTCATTTTGTAATTAAAACTTTTTTCTCTGACAATCTTTATACAGGACTTAAGCTTTGAAAGAGGAAAACAAAGAGTATGAATGACCAGGTACCTGGGTGTATGTACAGTTCTTCTTTTTGCACTTGCCACATGTAAACAGATCAGTTTGGGTACCTCCTGTTTTAGCCATCTGGTGCTCTCTGATAGCTTCTTTGGTCAGATTTTTGCGCATTTCTTTCAGCTCATCACTTGCCATTTCCTGTTACGGACAAGGAGCAGATAGTTTACTATAGAGTTTTAGTTTTAAATAAGTCGTTACCACTGTGCGAGCCCATACCATTTTTTATTTAGAATCCATAAACAACAACTCAAATGAAAGGTGAAGTAATTCCACACATTTTTAATCTTATGAGACCTAAGTTGGGGTATTTCACAGCACAGAAGCTACAAAAAGTTAAAAAATTGGGGGGGGGGGCTATTTTTTTGTTTGGTTTTGTTGTTGTTGGGGTTTTTTGGGCTCTTCTTTTTTTTTTTTTTTTAACACAGCTACGGGCCCTCTGCCCAAAGTTACAATATTAAACACCTAGAAACATTTCTATGCAAATGCATTTCTGAAGTTCAGAAATGTAATCCAGAGACAAGGCAGAGGAGGACTTAAACATTCTCCAGAGAGGAGGAAAAAGCTCCTCTTCCTAATTTGGATCCTTGCATAATTATCTCACTGATCTATGGAAGATTATTATAGGAAAAATTTACACCATTTTGACTTCTTCCATATTTGTACTGAGAAATACAGTATAGCCACAATTTACCATATGTTACCAGAAGTCATATACACTTCGTTTCAGAACATTAACCAAAGAGCTCAGATTCACCAATTTTCTTTTTTCTTTAAAACAGCTCTACTGTACAAGGTCACCACAACGTACAGTAATCAGGTGTGCACGGCAAAAACAAGTTGTGACATTTTTCTTCAATAAAGTTTTACTCCACATCCCACGTAGATGTGGAATGCAAAACTTGTATCAATGCTGTTTCACTTTAGAAGTAATCTTAACACTAAGGTGGTTTTTAACCATTATAATTTTAATCCAAGACATTAATTAAAACAAAGAATGGGCACGGGACAACACAAAATGTTTGTGCATATGTAGGTACACACAGGTAGAACAAAAAACCTCAAAATACGCGCTGAAGATACAATCTACTTTTCTTTACACATTCCTTTATCAGTCTCTCTTTGCCCCGATCTGTACCTAAAGCTATAGAACATTAAAAAAAAAATAAAGAAAAAAAATGAAGAAACAGAACAGACCAAACCTTTCCTTTAGAATAAAGCTAAACATGATTTTCGTTACTTGATCATAAATTTAAATCCTTTGTCTCCAAGATACTCCTTTATACCTGATGAGGGGGCTGGGGGGGGAAGTGTGATGACTTTCCTTCAAAATCATTTGAAGTATTCTGCCAAATTTGTGATAAGCTTTAAATGAACACTGAAAATGCCAACAGGAGAGGGACTGATCTTTAAAACCACAGTGTTATACCTTGCATAGGAATATAACAGCAGAGGTTAGCATTTGAAAAACAAATGGCAAGACAGGCAAACGCTTACATATCCAGAAAGGTGAATGGGTAAGCAGCTTGGAGTCACTAGCCAGGTATATTTACATCCTCCTGAACTTAAAAAGCTGTCACTGATACATCATGTGGCTTTTCAAAAACGGCAGAACATACCGTGCTTCAGGAAATTTGCACACAACAGCTTACCTGCCTTTTGACTTAGAGACAAACTCACGTATTTAGGAACCATTAACAAAACCCACTTCCCTCTGCCCCAACACAGCCCTGTCTAATTCAGGCTGTGCAAGCCACAAACAAGCCATAGTCTTTCAGACGTGCACGCAACTTATGTCAATTATTCTTATGGCTAATACAGGCCAGGATGTAAGTCCAAGAGGGGAAAAAGTTCAAGACTATGCTTTACTTACCTCTGCTGTCATTTTGGCAAACTTGTCAGGAGGAATGTTCCCACATAACACATTTTTCCTTAGGTTAGGATTCTTTGCATCCTTGAGATTTGCTATCCTACTTCGTACCCTGTTTTTGTATTTCATATCAGTGTTTTTTAGTTCTTGAAAAATAGGTGCTTTGGATTTAAGGAACAAAACATTAACAAGTAAAACAGAGCACTATAAAGGATTCATTTTGGGGGGTAACTTTTCTAAAGCAATGTACTTCACTGTTGACCAAGTCCTTCCCCACACCCCAACGTCAACCAAGTTACTTTTCTGTTCAACACAGCAGACTTCACGTCCTTCTGAAGCCTAATCATAGTTTAGCACATGGTCAGTGAAACATCAATTTTTGGGTAGTAGGATCTCAACTGAAATTGTGAAAGGTCACCCATAAATTTATGTCCAGTTCTTTGACCTCATCCTGAGAATTAACTGATTTCTAAACCAAATATTGAAACACTGGAGCTCACTAACAGACTTTTAAAACAGGTTTGCAACAGAAACAGGAAATTCCTTAACAGAAATGGTGTCTGACTGTAATTACCAAAGGACATTAGCAAGTTAGAATCATGAAGCTTAGACTATTTCTATGCTTAAGAATACCCCAAGAAAAATAAAAACAACAAACAAACAAAAAAAAACAAAATAAAAAGAATCCTAGACATCTGCTATGCAACTATTCAAACATTGCCACCAGAACAACCCTTTTGAAAATTCCAAATTAATTTAGAAATAAACTTGTGGGAAAATATTAAAACTGTTAACACTAAAAGATTTTAAAATAATATAGAAGAGCCCAGCATTTTATGTCAGAATAAGATATAATATTGCTGCTGCAAGGAAAACATACTGAACCGAAAAAAACCCACACACACTCACCTACACACATTCCTACATGTTTTAAGGCAAATCATTTAGGTCATGCTGGCTTTTTAAACACTAAATTTCTGCACTCGTGTTGAACACAGTTTGCTATTTTTGTTTTAAATTGATTTTAAAAATATATAAAGATCAAGTTAATTACTTTTAACATTATCGATGCTTTTAAAAAAGTCTTGTTCTAGTGCACATAGACGTACAACAAAGGATATCTTCTTCAATCTGAGAACCCAGCTCTTCCTCATCAGCACCAATAGCAATGTAATCATCTGAGGAAAGCAAATATTAAAATATTAGCAACTGACAATCTCATCAGTGTTCTATATCCTGGACAGCCCATTCAAAACTCTGAAACTCAGCAAATTACGAAACAACTGCAATGAATTTTCCTTTTGTATAGAAGTTTCATTTACTGTATACTTATCCTTTCAAGACTTTGTTAACGTTACTTGGGAGAACAAAAAAAAGTGAAATGAAGAGCAACAGAAGTTTAAAAAAGCAGAACAACCGTAAATCTTTCACAAACCCCAAAATTCTGGCATCTAGTTGCAAACACAAGTAGTAACAAAACACTTTGATATACAGAAAAATTTTAAACATTCTAATAGGTTTGGCAAATACCCATCTCCAGAACATGTCTGTGCAAAGAACAGACTATTATTAAACGAAAACATTTTGTAGTGTTTCATCAATTCTTTCAGCACACACGATACAAGCATGAGCAATTAATGTTTTGCAAGCATGCAAGAGAAAGATCTCATTAGAAACATAGTAATTAAATAACAGAATCAATGTTATTAGATATTTTTTTTAATGCAAAGCAGAGGTGTGTCATAAAACATGTAAATTAGACGAAATTAACCACAGCAACCTTGAAGACAATACAACACCTATCTTAAGCTACCTTGAAAAGTCTTTATGAGTAAGGGTTTTGGTCAGAAACAGTAAACAATTATCTTGAGACATTTCAGGTCAAATTAGACACATTAGGTGTTTTCCTCCTTCTCATTTTAACATGGATATACTTCAATGAGTAATCCAAACAACATTTCTCCTTCAATCTCATGCACAAGGCCTTAAAACCAGAAAATAACTTTTTTTGAGACTGGCATTCAACCCATGGATGATCAGTTTATATGTGCTGTAGAAAGTAACAGAGCAAAAAAGAGTTCTTGGAAATCTAGCCAAAATTAAGACTACATAGAATTATGAATACTAAGACACTATATGCAAATTTCAGGTCACAAATTATTTTAGAAGTCTATGAACTTCATATCCAAAGGACCACAAATTCATGGCCTTCAGTCAGCTTTGCTTACTGTCTGTATCTGAATTTATGTGAATTAGAAGAAAGAATAAGAGTAAAGAGGGTAAAAATGGGTGATTCAGAAGTCTGCTTACACTGGGTCAGGTTACACAAAGCTAAGAACAGAGGAACAGGAGCTGGTTTGTATGTTCTGGCAGAAGAGAAGGAACCACAAGAAAAAATTCAGGTCATTCTGAGGAGTCCAACTTTTAGTTTGCTCCTTATCTAACATATTGTTCAATTTGTCAGTTTAAAGACACCCAAGTGCACGTGAGGGGGGGGGAAGAAAAAAACCAAACCACCCAAACAGTCAAAGAGTTTACAGATTCCTTCCAAGGTTAAATCAAAACAAAAAGGCAGGCTTCAAAATCCATAATCTGAAGGCCCACAGGAACTCTGCTGTAGAAAGGCAGGCATGTATATAGTGGCACTTTCAGTCAGAGATAAGGCAAAAAAATAGCAGCTTCCACAAAAAGATTCCATCAACAGGATGACCATGAGCCAGCAATGTGCCCTGGCGGCCAAGAAGGCGAATGGCATCCTGGGGTGCATCAAGAAGAGTGTGGCCAGCAGGTCGAGGGAGGTCATCCTCCTCCTCTACTCTGCCCTGGTGAGGCCGCGTCTGGAGTACTGCATCCAGTTCTGGGCTCCCCAGTTCAAGAAGGACAGGGAACTGCTGGAGAGGGTCCAGCAAAGGGCAACGAAGATGATTAGGGGATTGGAACATCTTTCATATGAAGAATATTGGGTCTCTCTAGTCTAGAGAAAAGAAGACTGAGGGGGGATCTTATTAATACTTACAAATACTTAAAGGGAGGATGCCAGGTGGATGGGAGCAGTCTTTTTTCAGTGGTGCCCAGTGATAGGACGAGGGGTAATGGGCATAAACTTGAACATAGGAAGTTCCATCTTAACATGAGGAGGAACTTCTTTACTTTGAGGGTAGTGGAGCACTGGCACAGGCTGCCCAGAGAGGTGGTGCAGTCTCCCACTCTGGAGACATTCAAAACCCGCCTGGACGCTGTCCTGTGTAACGTGCTGTAGGTGACCCTGCTCTGGCAGGGGGGTTGGACTAGATGATCTCCAGAGGTCCCTTCCAACCCTAACCATTCTGTGATTTAAACGAGGCACTAAGGAGACAATAACCTTCCTGAAAAGAAGTTCCACTGTAGGCAAGATATCAGATGAACAGAAGCCACAAAATGTCCCATATCATCATCAACAAAAATGTATTTCAATGCATTCCCATGCTGTCAAGGTTACTCATTACTGGCAACTTGGGTGAACTGGCCTGTGGGTATTTACACACAAACGGACATAAACAGGGCTTATTCTACCCTACAGGGCAGGAAAAATACAGAGTAGGAAGGACTGAAATAGAGAAGAAGGAAATAGTTAATCTTTAAAATATAGTCTAAAAAACTCACCTCCTGTTCTGAGAGCGGCAGAGAGCATTTCTCTACATTTCACTCGTACAGAATCCGAAGTGCTTGGAGCCCGGGGAAAAGAAGGGATGAAAGAATTTGAGGGAGCACTACCCTCCTCCTTCCTGCTGCTGGAATTGCTACTTGAACTGCTAAAATAAGGCAAAAAGAAAACTAATATTAATGGGTTTTGCCGCTCTTCATGTAACTTTGTTCCAGGGCAAAACACAGGTTTTCTCCTACATCCATTTGATGTTATTCCAAAAAAAAAAAAGAACACAAGCCAACTTTTCAAAGCTACTTACAGCTCTAGAGTCAATACAATTTTAGAACAGTCTTTAGACTATTCATCAGGGTATTTCACACAATAGAGACACAGCAGGTGTTTCATTCCATTATGTAGCATATAAGTTTTAATTCTCAGTTCTCTATATTAACACAAAATCTTTTCTTCCTCCCCATGGAACTTTACTATAAAAAATAGTGAAGATATATCACACAAACATTCAGTCTGCTTACTGTACTGAAGTGGTACCACGGTCACAAGCAAGCAATTAGTGTAGCTTTGCAAACTGTAAACCAAAAAAGTTTTCAGCTTGCATCAGGACAAATGGTTAGCGGTTAAATTTCAATTTGAAAATGGCTGCTGGAAAGATTCACTAAAACCAGAAACATACAAAAGAAATGGGTTTGCAGATACTATTTTGCAAATGTTTTTCAGCTGCTATGGCATCATTAACATGGGCTCATTTTTCTGATAACATGTATTTTATATTTACCAAAAAAAGTGCAGAATGAGATTGTTTATTAAACATAAAAGCTAACAGAAGTAGCATTCTAAACCTCTAATGTGTGCAATTACCACAAAGCTGTGACTGAAAGTTGTTTTACAGTTCTCAAAGCTCAGCGATAGTATTGAGTGAGGAAGGAGTATTTGACAGATGACACAGATGGAATAAGCAATAACTGATCTGGCCGTATCTTGACCTGCAGCTTTCATCTTTGTCAGCAGCAGGATTTACTTCCCTTGTGCAACTCTACGTATTTCAGAAAAGAATGTGGAAGCTGTCTCTAGTATCACAAAATTGGACCAAATAGTTTAATGCTAATTTATACTGAATGAGGTTATTTATACAGTTGTGAAGAATTAAGCACCTTTCTTCTCTTGCTTCAGGGCTGTTTTGTGAGGAAGATGCAGGCTCCTTTTTCTTTTCTTCAGAATCTTTATCAGTTGAAGGTCCATCTGGAAATACAAAACATAAGAAACTTTCTTTTACCCAGAAATAGTAACCAATTTAAACCAGTGGTAAAGTATCTTTGATGATTTCTCCTGCACCAGCTGGAAATGCGAGCAGCTCCCACTCACTGCTTTGACCTTCTCTTGCAGTACAGCCTTCCACTCCCCAACACCCTCCCCAACCCAGCAAATGGAAAATATGACAACACTTCAGATCCTTCAAGTCAAGTCCAGCATCTGCTTAAACTGACAGTGAAGACAGGATGAAATTGTAGGCTTTTATGATTTATTTTTGCCAGCTCTGCTGCATGAGGTAGACAATAACTTCTTAAACTACTGCATCGTCTCTGGAGTTTGTCTTCCATGCTTTAAATATAAGCTCCTACTAAATATATGTCATTCTTCTTAATTATACTGACAGGATTTCTACCAAAGGACTGAACCAAACAAACTGTAGTGTGAAAGCTACCATGGTTGCCAAAAAATATAAAGATCATTTTCATATGCTTTTGAAGGAGTTTTTCAGACACAAACATAGTGTTTTCTGCAATAGCTCTTAAATTATTTGCCTTAGTGTTTATAAATACGTGAATTTACCTTTCCCATTCAGGCCATGTTTAATGATGATTTTATGAAGATGAATGCCGTTATTGAAAAGGGCAATCACAACATTTAACTTTAGCCTGGCGAGAACACATACACCCTTCTATTGTAAAGAGGAATTCAGAGTAGCTAAATTGAGCTCGTGCCTTGATTTGCTCTCTAGAAAGGCGGACTCTCCAGTGCCTACAAAGAAAGCCTAGCAAGATTGGCATCAATCACCGACAGTTATATTTTGTGAATTCTTCCCCCTAAGCCCTCATGAAGCTGCTATTACACTTCAAAATCCATAAACATTTGTTGCAAACTTTAAAAAGAACTACAAACACATCAAGAATAGGAGGGAAATCTAATAAGGCTCAGTCTTTCCCACAAAGGTGTCCTGAACTAGGTATCCAAATCCTTGCTTAAGCATCTAAAAGTATCCTCATTTCCAAAAGAGCCCCATCCCCACATTTCTCAGGGGAACTCGGTGGTATGGAACGCATATTAACATACACATTCACATGACTACTCTCTCTGACAACAAATGATTACATGATACATAATTCTAAATATGCATGTAATCTCACCCTCATCGTTTTTTAAGTACATGATCATTTTTGTCAGAGGCTTTAAGACAAACTGATAGATCAAACAGGTATCTTGGGGTACAGATCAGGTTTTACATAGCAGCATAGCGGCCTTAGAGCTGAGCTCTGCTTCAGCCCATTTACCTCCATATTTTTTTCTGGCACACAAGCTGTCAAATTCAGAGCTGACATAGGTATCTCCTGCTTATTTTGCATCAAATACACCGCTATGGTATACCTGGGACCTAGTTTTAGTTTATCAAACACTTCCAGTTAGCCCGGCACTATTTCCAAACACAAATACAGGCTGAGTGGAGAACGGATTGAGAGCAGCCCTGAGGAGAAGGACTTGGGGCTGTTGGTTTACGAGAAGCTCAACATGAGCCCGCAATGTGCACTCACAGCCCACAAAGCCAATCGTATCCTGGGCTGCATCAAAGGAAGCGTGGCCAGCAGGTCGAGGGAGGGGATTCTGCCCCTCTATTCTGCTGTGGCAAGACTCCACCTGGAGTCCAGCTCTGGAGCCCCCAACATAAAAAAGACATGGACCTGTTGGACCGCACCCAGAAGAGGGCCACAAAGATGATCAGAGGGCTGGAGCACCGCTCCTATAAAGACAGGCTGAGAGAGTTGGGGGTTGTTCAGCCTGGAGAAGAGAAGGCTCCAGGGAGACCTTATAGCAGGTTATCAGTACCTAAAGGGGGTCTACAGGAAAGATGGAGAGGGACTCTTTATCAGGGAGTGTAGTGACAGGATATGGGGTAACAGTTTTAAACTGAGAGGGTAGATTTAGGTTAGATATTAGGAAGAAATTCTTTACTGTGAGGGTGGCAAGACACTGGCACAGGTTCCCCAGAGAAGTTGTGGATGCCCCATCCCTGGAGGTGTTCAAGGCCAGGCTGGATGGGGCTTTGAGCAACCTGGTCTAGTGGGAGGTGTCCCTGCCCATGGCAGGGGGGTTGGAACTAGATGATCTTTAGGGTCCCTTCCAACCCAAACCATTCTATGATTCACCAGAGAAGGCAGGCATCTGAAAACATCTGCCAATACGCCAATTGCTTCTTCCATTTATGGAGGGTAAGGTATACATGAGGCATGCGGATAACGCAAGACGTAAAAGCACAGCTTTTCATACACCTGCAGACCAGTCTATGCAAGCCTGTCTCAAACCACAGTCAAACTTCAGCAGCTGAGACAACTTGGACCATCTTCAGGCAAAAATGTCTTCAAAACTAAGATTTCTTTAATCACTTAGATTAGAATTTATAGACACTTTTGTTTAATCCAATTTCAGAAATCTGAAAATAAATTTAACAATATTCTCTCTTTGCTTGAAATATTCTCCTAAGTGTTTAAGCCATTCACTCTTATGGATCATAAATTGGAAAGCACTGAGGAGAGATCCAGTATCAAGCAGTCCTTACTCAAACTCACACATTAATAAGGATTTCTTATTTTATTAAAATACTGTATTGACAAAAGAACAGAACGCAATTAACAGCCTGCTGGACAGCATTTCAAATATCCTCTGGGGAAAGGAAAAAAAATTATCCTTGAGAAACTAGAAGTCCCTACTAATTAACTTATTTTACATTCAACAGCCAGACTCTAACGCAAAGGAAAAATAACGTCTAATGGGAACTACAAACAAGCACAAAAATTCTAACAAAGTACAACGGAAAAAAGGGCCCTTCTATGAAAGATATTTAAAAATTCCAATGCGCAAGTGATTCACATCAGGAAGTCTATAGAACATCATAAATATTTATACTGTATAAATTGCAAGTTGCTTTAAAGAGGCACAATTACTTTTTCAACTTTGGACAGCTATTAAAACTTGCCAAAATGATTTTTCAGAAACAAACTGAAATTGTCATCAATTTGAGGACTGAAAACTGTAACTTCAAATTTTAGCTATTGCAGCTTGAGAAGGTAATTAAAAAAAAATCTTTAAGCTTTTTTTTTTTTTTTAAATAAGATAAGCTAACTTATATTAATGCTTCTTTAAAATACAAAGACCAAGCTAGTAACATGAACTGACTATTAGCCTTTGGAATAAGACTATCAAATTCTGACTACTGCGTTGTAGTTTCTACCCGGGACTCAAAATGAATTTGAAAGATACTTCTACCTTTCCCAGTGAAATAATCTCTCCAGGGTAAAACATGACATGAGTGTTCTCTGTCACCAGAACAAATTTTTTAATCTAATAATATATAGTCAGAGATAACACAATTAATCTGAATGTTAGAAGCCATTAATAGCTTCCTCATAGATTCTTCTAATTATATTACACATGAACTCAAAACATTTTCTAGTAACATAAAAAAAAAGCCCAGAAAGTAAAAAGATGTAATGTTACTAATTTTTAAATTTAACTTTAAATTAAGAATTTCTTTAAACTAAGAATTTCTCAGAAATGTTAACAAAAGGTGGCCAGTTATTCCCTGGAAGCACATGAGAATTTAATTTAGTGGGTTACTTTACATTACTGATTCAGATTTCACCATCAAAACTTGGAAAATTTTCTGAGTATTCAGTTTGAATAAGTTAAAGGAAAGAGATATGAGAACGGGTAACAGATGTCATAGTCATTAATTTAACAACGACCCTCATATTTAGTAATTCTTCAGGCCGCATTTTCCAGACCCTGACCAAAATAATCTCGAGATGCACAAGCAGCTACGCTTGTCAGCAATTCCTCTGCAAGATGTAGTGAGACATGAAGGTAAGATCAGAGAAGCTTCTTCCTAGTACTAGCATAGAGAGGAATATTATCGAAAATCTATAATGAAACAATAGTATGAACTGTTCGCCATTTTAAAAGATTTTTTTTATCCCAAGTGACAAAAGAGCGTAACACTAACTACTTTGCTATACATGTTTTTTTCTCCTATTCAGTATGATGTCATTTGCATCATATGTTATTATCTCTCCATTGATACTCCTAACAAATTATATATCTACTAACTATACATGGAACAGTTCCAAATATACATTTGACAGGAGGTAATTTCCATAGCTCATACTTGATATGGAAATGAAATTACTGAAGTTATTTCTGCACTTGATTCTACTCAATATCTTATAAAGACATGTACTCTTCTTATCAATAGTAAACAATACTCTTAAACACTATTAAACTGCAATTTAGGAATTTGCTTTGTCAATTACAATTTTTTTGAGCAAAGCCAGTAGGTTACTAGATGTCCTTGAACAACTTTACCTCATGATAGCATTAACATACCTGTAAGAGAGTCCCAGACCGTACCAGCTTGTTCCAGTAGAATCAAACTCAGGTTCGAAATAATAAAGGATTGCATGAACAAAGTGATCTGAGTAAAACACTTCTGTGAAGTCTGGCTGATGTTATCTTCTCTTGACAACATTAAGCACTTAAACATTCTTTTAAAATAAAATTACTCAGGCATGCACCTTTTTTGAAATAGGCATTTCAAAATGCTCATGGCCCCATTTTCAGTTTTTATTACTGGATGATCACACTTGTACTTGATGTCAAGATTATTGTCCAATCATTCTGCATTTCCAGTTCAGTACACAAACTTACTGGAGTTAAGCTTACTTAGTTAGAGGTCTGGACATTCTTTTTTACTGTATACGCTTATTGAAGTTCAGTAAGTAATTATTTGCAATGGGGAATGTTACACTCCTTAAAGATTTTTTTTTGTTGTTTTTTAACATAAAGGAACACTCCTCATAACCTAAATGCATATGCACAGATTCTGCATACCATACTCTATATACTCAGCTACTTGGCAAAAAAAATCATTATTTGCAAATCTTGTGTTCTAACTGAACAGTATTTTATTCTGAGAGGAAAATTTGCTTCCTTATGTAAATTGTGACCAACTCAGCTGTGTGGTTTAACGTTCTTACAGCAACATCTAAGAGCGATCTTTCACTGTAGCTTCCACAGCGAGTCACTTCCAAGAAGGCCTGCAAGCCCTCTGCTGGGCAGCTTCAACACCCCACACCATCCCCCCCGAAAAAACACTGGTACCCTGGCATGGCTCTGGTAAAGCCACAAACATCTGGTGATGTTGTGACAACCTTACTTTTTTTTCTTCTCATGTTTCCCACGCATTCTTAAAACGTAAGTTCCGATAGCATTGAACTTAAACAGTACATGCAGCCTGAACAGTCAAAAATTCTTGCCTAAATTCAAAATGTCATTTATAAAAATAACTCACAAAGACTTCAGATCTCTGAGTATAATGCTTGGTACGATTAACAGCTGTCCGCTTCTGTTGCCATCTTTGATCCATACCATTTTACATGCACTATAAACAGCATAATCGAAACTGATTTCTCAAGCAGCTCAACATACGGTATTTCGTATTCTTCCGAGAAAGTCAAAACTAATGACAAAACAGAATAAGAGCACTTTGTAAGATTCCCACCCATACTTCACGCAGCCCAGATACCTTCTCTTCCACAGTTACAAGATTTTAAGTTCTTACGAATTACTGAGCAGTGAAACAAGAGGTGAAACATTTGCCCTACCATACTTTAATACAAGGTCCATGTGCAATGAAGGAGAATTTAACTACATAAGATTTGAATACAAGCAGTGCTGTATTTTCAGGAATAATTTGATTTTAGGTAAGTGCACAACTGCAACTATACTAGACCTGGCACAATAATGTACAAGCAATAATATCTGTCCTGTAACAAAAATTAGAGCGTGAACAAAGGTCATATACCCACTGCCTCAAGAAGAAAGTATTCAGTTCTGAATAATGTCAAATATTTGCTATTTACTTTCCAGTTCCTTACATGTTTGACTTCACCTGATGCAAGCAGCCTTAGGTAGAGCCTCCCAACTGTCTTAAAACAATTTGAATGTAGCAAGCCATCAAAAGGGGAAGGTCCATCTCACCACAGCTGTATGTTACTGCTGCAATCCCTGTGCAGGAAACAGCAACTGCAAACAGACTGGACCAAAAAAAATCTGACACAGTTGAAATTTAAAGCAGAAGAAAGGAACAGAACAATTAGTTTCCAACCGGTCAGTTCCCAGCTGTGGTTTCCTGGATAGCTACTTAAGCACTAGTTGTAGCACAGGAGGAAGCAAGGAGGCACCTGTGCAGAAGGGAAGCCAGGACCACCCTTTTCAGCAGCAGCCTACACTCAGATTGACCTGCTGTGACCATCAGGCACCAGCATCTTATTCCAGACTTCTACAGCATGAACACCCTCTGGTAGGAATACTCCCCACGTTTCACAATGTTTGAACACTTACAGATCAGTCAGCTACAAGTAACAATATATTTAGACAAGTCTGACTGACTTAAGACATTGTATTAAAAAAATGAGACAGAAGACTATTTTTACTGTCTCAACAAATAAAAAGCAATTTGTTTGCTCAAAGGACAGCGATAAGCAGGTCAGCTCCCCCTGCAAAAAAAAAAGCAGTCTCGGAGGGCACTCCCAAAACTTGGGAATTCTGTGGGAAAAGAGAGTATTTCCTCTACTTTGTTGCCTAAACTAAGTATCAAAAATGTGAACTTTAGAGGAAAAAAAAAAACAAAACACCAAACCCAAAACTTTTAAAGGGCCTTTTTTTTTTTTTTAAACTTAGATTAATAAATTGAGAGCTAGGTCAATCCAGCTGTTGCTTTTAGAAGTCTTCATAGTAACTCAAGTTAACATGCAAGCCCATTTCTTCACTTATGTATCTTACCAGTTTTATGCATCGGATAGAATACAGTTGGACTTCAAATTCTAAGTGGAAATTTAAACATAAGAAGTACATAATTTTCACTATTTACCAGTGAACTCTGATCAGAGCCTTTATAAAGTATGCATCTAATTTATTATAAAAGCCATTACCATGACTTAAAAAGTATTTGTCAGCATATCTAGTATCATCCAAATTTCATTACTAAAACTAACCTAATTAGTATTATCTAACTTTTTAAAGGTAGGTTAAAAATATACGTCTGCTGTAGAGGTTGTTGCTTCTTACTAGAATACAGAAGTTGAAAGCTATAACAAATTGTCCATTTCTACATAATATATACTGTCAGACAGACACAAAGTCATTTCTACAAGAGAGTAATAAGGTATCTGATAAAATACTTCATAATTGATAAAAATTAGGCTGACTTCAAATGGCAGGGGACTCTAACACCTTCCTGGTATTTAGCATATTTTTCTAGATAGAATGTCAAATATTTCAATAAGTAAAAAATAACGTAAACCGTTTTCTATTTCAAAATTTGAAGCTTCCTAAGTTGTAGTTTACCTAAAATTAGATACAAAGAAACAAAATAGAGTACAGCATACTCTATGTGCAAAAACACCTGGATGGTTTGAGACTTGAGCGTTTTCAAATGCATTAAAATTAAGTACTACAAAATACCCTTGAATAAAATCCTGCTAACAGAAAGGTTTCATTCACTGCATTCACTGCTTTAAGGGAAATTAAACAAAAAGTATTAACTCACTAATTAGTAAGTTGTTTAAAATTATGAAAGTTTTAGAAAGTGCAGATCTGTTTCTCACTACCTGTAAGTTCTAACAGATTTTTAACGTCAATTTTTTTTACTGTTTCTTTTTCTCTTCACAAATCACTTTATAACAAAACTTCAAAGCCTCCACACTCTCATATGAGATTCTGCACAAGTTCTTCAGAGTACCTGTTATATTTGACAAAGGAAATAGTCAAGAACAGGTTCGTTAGCGCTTAGTACTGCAGAACAGTCACTCCAGCTCAACAGCAGGCAAGGAGACTTCAGAAATGAGTCATGTCACAGAAGATGGCTTCCTACTGCTTGCCAGCCCCAATAAAAATACATTAACTTTTTCTCTGAATACACTTTCACAGTAATGCACTGATGATAGTCAAAGAGTAAAAACCAACCACATCAGTGCAGAAAGTTTCAATACTTACACAGGAGCACAAACACATCTAAAGTGAGGCAGTGTCAAGGATTTGCATCAAGACTGCATACAGTTAAAACATGCAAAGGGGGGTGGTGGGGGTGGTGGGATTTTCTGTCGCCATACCTAACAGTTTCTTCCAAGACTTGATAAGAGATTTTGCTAAAGATGTAACTTCTTCATCTGTGCTTTGCTTGCGTATCGCATTCACTGACATTCCAATTCTGGTAGACTGCAAAAGAAATAAAAATATACATGACAAAAGGCAACATATAGACAATTTAACAAGTAAACATATATAAAGTTGTGCTGTGACATAATTTTTTTAAGGTATTTTTTCCTTACTTTTGTGGGCTTTTTTTTTTTTTTTTAAGACTATCAGGATGAAATGCCACAAGCTTTTACAAAACTTACTTTAACAACATAGACATTTTAAAAAGAAATACAACAGTATACATCTGTCTCCGTCACAGAAGTTTCGGTAGGAGGGCAGAAGGATGGACAGGAGCGTTAACTGGAGTCAATCAGATTTTTGCTCCCAAACCTTTTCAAAAAGCTTTGCAGAATTACTTACCTAAACTAAGTACAACATTCAAAACATCTAACGTGAAAATCTTATATATATCTTAATGTTACATAAAATTTTTAGCAACGGTTCTAGCCTCAAAACCTTATTTTTCTGTGAAGCGATCACTGTATTTATGTTTTGGCATGATCAGAAGCTTGCCAACTGCTTCAATAACTTCATACTTTTAGAATTCCCGTTTAGTGGCTGTATAAGAAGCTGCAATTCTCAGTTGGGAGAGACCACGTTTCAGATTCTTAATAATTTTGGCAACACTGAGATTCTTTAAAATCTTAAGCACAAGAGGGTTCTGCTTTTACACAGAAACAGTAAGACTAGTCCACCTCTCAAAAGGCCAAGATAGTGACAAGCTTTAAACCTTTGGCACTACTGCCACCTATGGATCGAAGAGGACATTAATTTACAATCCACTCTTGGGACTCGGAAGATGAGGACAGAAATCTAGCTCAATAGCAACAAAAGTTTCATTTTAGAAGACTTCTCCGACTACTGTGTTAATCTAACAAGTAGAACATTTCCACACTTTTTAGTTTTACGACAGGAGATGAGTGTTTAAAAATACAAGTACTTTATTATAATTTCATATTTTGATTGACGACTAAATTTTTTAAAGTGCTTTTAAGATGCTCAGTTTTGTTGCATTTACTATTTACAGGACTCAGTAAATACAATTCATTCTACTTACTTTTGCAGTAGGTCATCATAAATTTCTTTCTCCTTTAAAAGAAAATTTAAATCTTTGTGGCTCGCTAAAAATGTAAATGATTTGTCCCTGTAAATTACTCCTTACAACCCACACAACACTTTTTGGGGCACCATGGTTATGCCAAATGATGGGAAATCTACTGAAATATTCCATAGCTATTTCAGCAAAGGAAACCCATCAAATAGCCTCAGGTCTGAGCACCAACTCTAAACACGTATTTTGGATTAAAGAAAACAGATGGTTACTCACCTGTAACTAAAGTGTTTCAAGATGAACTCTGCTCACTCAGACTAACAGTAACAGCCAACTCTCTTGACATGTTAAACACATACTCTGGACATTATATTCAGACAATAAAGAATAACAAGTGCTTGGAAATCCATAAAATACTGACCGTACCTGAATGAGAAAAATGTATCTACAAAAAAAAAATAATCCTCCACGGATAACTGGGTACAACCATGGCCAACTCTCATCAGCAAAGACACCAACTTACAGGCTTATTTAGGTAAGTAAAGCTCAAAAACTCGGGTAAAACTCAAAATTAACTGGATAAATTAATTTCTTCCTCTGATCACACAAAAGAAACAGATCATAGTAACTATCTAAACTGCTGGCTTTCTTAAGGCAGGACATGAATGCAGGTCTCTTTTTTGCTTTTACAGAGCACCTGATCTGGCCTTGCCTGAAGAGAGGGAAAGGAACAACCTACTGATTTATTAGCCTGCAAACTGACACAGGTAATCACAAGATCAGTGTTATATTCTCAAAATATGCTTTAATGATGAACTGTCAGCCTTTGAAATTTCCTCAGTCTTCCAGCCTAAGGAGCTCTTTTTGTGAGACCCACTTCAAGTGGAAAACATTGGTATTTTTGCCTAGCCCAGTGTAAGCCGTGGAAGTGCTGTATCTCTGTGCCAGTTTGTAAGTGTGGAGGTATATGAAAACCTTCCCCAGCCTGTCCAAAATGCATTCTTAATGGATCATTCCTCCCCACTTCAAATTCTAGAGCCCTTTTCATCTGCTTTGTGAGAGTAAAGGGGCTCAGAGACAGCGTAAGACAGCTGTTTTCACCCCTGAAGCTTTCAAGCTGTAGGCCAAGCAGCCTTCAGTCGGTGTGAGCAACAGTTAGCGTGAGTAACCTATGACTGAACCCAAAACAAAGCATACGGTGGCAGCTACTCTTCTCTAAGCCAGACCCGATGAGACAACGTAAGGAACGTAGCTGTGGAAGAAAAGAAACCACTGAAGCAAGCAGAGGTGTTACCAACTTTAAATTGTAAGTGAGTACAAGGACAGAGAACTGGTGAGCACCCAGACCAAAGCAGAGCCAAATTAAGCCCTGAAGAACAACCGCCTCCACGTTCCCAGGTCTCCCCAGCTCACCAGTGAACTGGCAAGAAGTCATTAACAAGGACTGTCCATCACAGCCGAGTTCTGCATACGTGCGCATAACTACCAGTAAAACCTGTTTTTTAAAATAAAGACCGTCTGTCTCCCTCACTGTTCAGCTGCGCCCTACCCACTATTAGCACCAGTGACACGATGCCTTTAATACTGTGCGGCTGCTAAACAGATTTGCAATTCTGACCACCGGATCAGTCACGTGTGAGGAAGGCTACTGGCTCCCTGCCTAGCTGAGCAAGGATCAGCTTGCTTACATAAACCTCGTTAGATATGACACAGTCATACTATTGTCTGTAACCACTTCGGCTTTCCCTGACAAATACCAGGCGAGAAAGACACAAGACAAGCACAAGTCCAGACTACTGATGTGTACCTTCCTATTCCACATACCTGTAAATTGTTCAGCGGACCTCGCCAGCTCAGACTGAAGCAACAGTCGTGTTACAGGAAAAATCGTCACTTCTCTTACTACACAGGAATAACGAAACTATCATATCAGCTAGCAGTGCTTTTCTCAGTGCAGCCAGCTTTCAAAACTGCTTAAAAATGGATGTGGAAGTACGCTTTTCACTTGTGTTCTGCTTTTCATTTGCTCAAATACATTCAATAGATATCTCCATCTACATAGACGAAGTCAGTGCTCCCACTTTCTCATGATCATCACCCTTCTTGACATCAGCACACTAATGATCCACTACCAGAGCAATACATATGATCACTTTGCACTTCAACTGTTACTCTGAGTCCTCCGTTGCTTAAGCAAATCTGGGAGACTAACACAGAAAAGGTACAGCAGACTTTGCATATCTATAAAACTCTCAACAGAAATAATGTAATGAGTTTAAACATGTTGCTAAATGCAATCTTACACAGCAAAACTGTTTTGAATACAGCTGTGGGCGCTTAAGAAAGATTTCTTAACTAAGCTACAGTCAACCTACTGTGCAAGAGTACGCTAAAATACCTGATCCCTTTAAACCTACTGTAACACAGAGAAATCGTGGTTACAAACTTATATGGTGCCCACCCCAACACAGATTAAAAACAGTCTTTTACTGCAAATATTATTTCACTCTAAAGCCAGGTACCTACCATATGGATGGGCATAAATAAGCTGCTTTCAAGTGGGTTAGAACTGTCCAGAATTAATATGCAACCCTATATAAATTAAGTCAGGGTCACACAAGTACCCTAAAAGGCAGACAGTTGAACTTGTTTGTACTTAGTAAGATTAAGAATCCACCTCTGTTCATAGCAGTTCTAAGGTTTTCATTGCAACTGAAAAAAAAGAGTATTTTCTACTTGTACATTCTTCAGATCCTCACGGTTCTGCGTAAAGCTTCTCCTTCTAGCCTCATTCTTCACCCCAAGCAGAACAGGTTTGCACAGCAGCATTTACAGAATTTCCAGAGCACTTGCAGAGAGATTTTTCATTCCAAAGGCAAAAAAAACACTATTACACAAATGCTTTGTATTAAGACCTGCACAAAGGAACTCAAAAGAATCAGGTTAACAGAGGGGTTTTCTGAGTTTTGTTGTTGTTTTGTGTGGGGTTTAAGGGTTTTGGGTTTTTTTTTCAGTGGAGTTTTGTGTTTGTTTTTTTTTTAAAGGAGGTTGCACATAGGGGAGAAGGTTGCAGCATCATATCAGCCATGCTCATTCATGCATGAAGATGACACTTCTAAATTTCTACCTTCTGTTACAAACAGTATTAGTAATATGGTACTAAGTACATTCTGTAGATATATAGGATGCATACGTCAAGAATGGCATTGCTACTGACACATAAGATTTGAACATTATAGCTAATTCTGTATCTGTGACTATTAATTGTCACTTAGAAAAAAGCTACTTTTCAGTCTCTTCCAATTTAAATGGATACCACAGCAAATCAGGTCTTACATTTATCTCTGCCACTTGAAAATTTTCACAGAGATAGGAAATATCTAGTTACTTTGGAACAACTGTTGATTGATTAATTACATGACAAACTCTGAAACTGACATGCAAATAAAGTTCACTGAGTTACTTTGTGAGAGAATATATAAATAACATATAAAATACTATGTTAGAGGTATCAGCTGTAATTGGATTCATTCTCCTTCAGAAGGAAGGAAGCACATCACGTCCGTGTTAGTAAAAACGGAAGATTATATATAAGGTAAGTTTATTAGCAGCTCTTCCCCTTTGTCCATGACAAAATTCACTATTTTCAAATTAAACAGAAAGATAAGCTTTAAGAGCTCGCTACTGGAAGAAAACACTTAAGCTAAGTGCCCTAAATCAGGGTGAAAGACTAGTTACCCTATAACAACACTGATTCTTCCAAGGAATTTCTACATAGGAACCTACTTTGATAATGCAACCTTCTTCCAAATTTGCTGGCTTTACATTCACCATTATGGAGTTAATATTTGCAACATAACAACAATAAGAAAATCATACCTGTAACAACTCAAGGGTCATGGGAATATTCTTAAGCTCCTTCAATAAATCAAGAGCTCCAGCCTGCAAAAAAAGAAAGAAAAAAAGAAAAAAAAATAGTACCAATCAGGTACTTTAAATATAATACCAACAATATACTGTTATCTGCCTTCAAGATCCCAGACTGGATTCAAACTATCAGTTCCCAATTTATCCACAGAACAACTCTAAGATAAGGAATGTTCTGCTCCACAAACTCTAAGCACTAACAGGCCTTAACTCAGAAATCAAAGTATTCACTCAAGGACTACAGAAGTTTTATCCCATATAATTCAAATGCAGGTTAAGGCATTCTGTCAATTACTACTTAACCAACACACATCCTCAAGAAAACAGCCTCAAGGGTACTTCACTTAACAGCATCAGAACAAGCCAGCCTACAGCAATTTTCAGTTCAGAACAACCTCACCTGTTTTAGCACAAGAACTTGGAGTTGAGAAGCTCTGCATAGTCCATCAATAATGTGCATATACATAAATACATGCACATATAACTATTATATATAAAACATACATAACCAACATTCTTAACTGTATTCGTATTTGTCTGGCAAAGCCAGAAAAGTTTACTGGTTTAAAAACTGTGATTAGTTTACACTATTTTAGTAGACACAGCTATAGAAAAAGACAACTTTGTGAGTGTGTCTACCAACAAACGCCCAAATAAAAAAAGCTGAACAAGACTTGCTTTCAAGTCTTATTTTCAACTATTATGTTTAAATATTAATTCAATGAAATATATAGATTAGTGCAGACAATGCTCTTCAGCCTATACCAGGCTTGTCAAGCATCAACATGTTCCAAACTAGAAGCCAGAGCCCATCCTAATGTGCTGTAATATCTGAGCTAATGCACTTCTTTATTATTCAGCTGCCGTGGGTTTTTCTTTTAAAGAAAAAATATAATATAATGTGCATATATACACACGCACATATAACTATATATATAAAACGTATATAACTAACATTCTTAACTATTTGCAGCTGTGCGGTAAAGCCAAAAAGTTTACTGGTTTAAAAACTGTGATCAGACACCTGATAAGACCCTACGGAAAGGTCTAAACTAATACTGTGTAGGCAGCAACTTTCTAGATAGAGGAGTTAATTTCAGAGATTGTACTGCTAGGCATTAATAAACTCTATACACAGCTACTCTGACTAACAATTCATTCCTTGGCAATGTCGGCCTTACTTTAAAGAAAAAAAAGTTTTCATAAATGTGAGCTCCATAATTTACTTCAACCTCTACATGCCTGATGATTTACTACCTCTACTTAAGCAAAGCTCTGCACCATTCACTTCCGACTGTGCACATGAGTTGCCAGACTACAGCAACCTCCTAAAGGTTCAGAGGTTTTGCTGTTAATCAAGCACATATGGTTCTGAACCTGTGAGCTACAAACAGCAAGAAGGCAACAGCCTTCGCATACAGGAGGTCGCTCTACTCGGGCTAAGCACGTTACCTTCCCGCCCTTTAAAGTTCATGACATTTGGAAACAAACCCAACAAATTTTCCATCCTGCAGATCTTTGGAATTTGATTCCTCTTTCCTTACCTCTCTCTCAGCTCATCATACTTTGTTTACTTCAAGATGCATTTTGCTCATCTTTATTTTTAAATTCTCCCTAATCGACTTCTAATAGGACACCTGTTGCAACGAAACTCTTGTCATCTCCTGCTGCATCTGCAGGTCTTACAATTTAACCACTAAAGATAGCACATGAAATAACCAAGAGGCTGAGAAAGATGAAAGTGGAACTTGTGTGTCACATCTAAACAGGTACAGCTTTGGACCCATTCAAATGTCTGCTGCAACCTCTGTTTTCTAAATGCATCTGACAACAAAGAAGCCTTGCCCCGCTATGTCCCAACTTACACAAACCCAATTCATTTATAAAACAGAAGTTTTACTATTTTGCCATCATAGCAAATATTCTATTCATGATATACAAAACTTCTCCAATTTTAACCATAGAATTTTAGCAGCCATGATGGAAGACTAAGAAATGTCATACTGTTTTCAGGTACTAAATGGAGTTAGCGTACTAAACCATTTCTTTCTCTAAATGGCCATAAGCATGGCTTCCTCTGGGCTAACACAGATCCAAGTAAAGCAAGTTAACTGTCTTCACTACTACAAAGCAAAATCAAATTCAAGAAAATGTTCTTAGGCAAAACAAAACGAATGACAAAAGTCAATGTGCCATTTTCAAAAATAATATCCAGTAACACTTACCTCCAAACCAGTTAACTTATTAGCAAACTGTACAGGGTATGCGATTTCAAAATAAACACTGGTTATCATAGTCTGTGATTTCAGCATAACAATGATACCGTAATGAAAAGTAGGAATTATAGCACACTCTTCACCTCCTCTTAGAAATACAGTCTAATCAAAATTTCTTTGCCTCTGCAAAACCTTTTTCCAATTGTAGGTGTCAAAACAACTTTATTATTCCCAGTTTAAACATTTTCTAAAACTAGTAACTTGATATATAGAAGTTTAACAAACCATGCAACAAGTTAAAAAACTCAGGTACTCTCTACACAGAAGATGTTATCTACATTTCATGCTGTTTTCCGTACCAAATTACCAAAATTCCTAATGCACTAATGCTTTCTAAGCCTTCACTCTAATCAATTTTTTTACGTGTACCAAGAATTAGCTGCTTTAAAATTAAAATTCAATTGAATTGAGTTTAACTCACAGCAACTAAGCAGTTTTTCATAACCACCTTTCTTAGCATAATGTCAAATGCTCTCTTTTCGCCAAAACCAGAGTGGAAGTCGCACAGTAAAACTTGTAATTCCTATTTTTCTAATGTAAGACTTCTCTGTTTAAAAAAACCCATCCATTAAGAACATCAGTATAAATCTTCTTTTAAAGGCATTTCTGTAACTTTATAGAAAATGAAAGGCAATGCCCCATTCCACTAGGCTGGCTGGCTTCCAGTTTACCTTGTTATTTGAAATAACAGAAGTCAGCTTCATACAGATTTAGTAGATTACTCCTCTCAGTTGATCAGATCATAACACCAGAATGATGTTCTATATATCGCTATGCTTCAGGCAATAGAAAATGGAGTACGTTTCTGAAGACAGCAGAACTATCCAGTTACAATTCTGTTCTACTTAAGGGAACAAACATTTAGTAACATGGACAATTTTACATTTTCTTCTTTAAACTTACTCAGCAGTTCTTGATTTTTTTAATCCATGGGTGCAACCCTATTTTTCATACCTATTCATTACAGCAGCTTAATGAAAGAAAAGTGTACTTATGTACAATAAAAGCTACAAGGCACTACACATGTTTTAATCCAATCACAGTTATTCTGAAGGTGGAGTAATACCTACTTCAGACATGCAACCAGTATTTGAAGTAACAGCAGAAATATGTATCTCACAGTGTATGAAATACAACATTGCATTATTATTTTGTCCTTCAACACAAAAGAGCTGCGTATATCGCTTCACTAAAATAGTTATGAAATCTGCACAGCTGCAATTAAATCTTTAGCCAAGGCAAATCACCAAGAGTCTGACTCAGGAAGGGTGTCTGCACGTCCTGCCTTTTGAACTCATCAAAAGAAATGCCAAACAGCACTTTGCCACCAGCCACAGAGTCACATTTTGTATGAGATGAAGCATCTCTTGCCATCTGAGTCTTGACAACTTCAGAGTGAAAAGGTATCAAAGATTTTTTTTTCCCCCCCTTTGTTGATGGGTTTTATCAAACCTTTCTCACTCAAAGACATATACCAAACACCTGTTCTTCTTGAGTAAAAATGGAGAAATGAATACAAAAGGTTGTCAGGAGCATCATTATCCAGCAGGTACTTAAGTAAGACTGCATTTCTCAATTCAGCTTCATCTTTGTGAGACAATGAAGTACCTCTTCATAGAAATGATCGTAGTAACTTTGCTACAGTTTGCATTTTAACTGCAGGGCAGGATTAGATAGGAAATCACACTATACCGGTAGAAAAGAAACATCTTACTAGACTAGTATGAAAAGTACAGAGGCATCTTGAGTTAAAATAGTGATGTACTTTCTCTCCTAGCGTACAGCTAAGGGTTTTTATCACGGTACACACACATGCTTTGGATAAACTGTCAGATTTCAACTATCAGCCACAGAGGCAGCTCTGGTCCTCAGAGTTAAAAGGTTTTTGAGACAGCATCAAACTAACAACAGAGCCACTTGTGTGTGGTAACGAGCGGGAACAAACGAGCTCTGTTCCAACAAAGTACAAAAGCAAAACTGCTTCTGGGGCTGCGCATGCTCTCACTCCTGGGACAGGAGTGAAGATGAAGACCCAGCCGCTGGCTCCAGCCTGGCACAGCTGTGCGCGCTGCCTTTGGCCACATCAGACCTACGCTGACCTCAGCAAAGACACTGCACCGCTGCCTAGAGCTTTGAACGTTAATTAGGTTACACACGCCAGGGTGTGAATACATGTCCCCAGCTGCTGCTAGAAATTATATCCAAACTCCGAAGCCTCCCAGATCACAGAGAAATACACCAGGGTCACAAGGAGCATCTCTGGTATCGCTGCAGCAATGATACCCAGCATCAACAGTCCTTCCCATATCACCTGGGAGTTGCCATTTTCTTTTTTTTGCCAGAAGTCTGCCAAATAAAATTGAATTGACTGCACTTCAGCATTCTCATTACCATAATATTTAAACTTTTCACAGTCAGTATGTTTTCACGCTTTCCACACCTCATAGGAAAGAGCTACTACTTCAATTTCAGAGTCAGGAAAGTGAGACAGTGAATTCTTTTGTGCTGAAAAGCACAGGGAATAGAAATAAAGAGGGAGCAGACAAAAAGGAAGAAAGTAACCAAACATTAGTTGTAAAAAAATCTTTCCATTAGACAAGGCTGCTGTCTCCACCCCATATCATCAGAGGGTTAAAATGTATCTGAGCTAAAGCATACAATATTATGGAACATCAAGGACTTTGAAACACAGCAAAATATGGCCTGTGTGTACTTGCAATTAATTTGTTTGGAGTCTGAACCAAACAAATTTCATGGGTTTAATGCAATTAGTATTTATATAAATATGCAAATCTTATTTAAAAATGTTATTTATAATTTCCATTAACAGCAAAAAAAGTCTTCTATAAACTGAAATTCCACACTGCTCGGTTCTGAGCTATCGCTAATATTGAGCATTTAATGCACTGTCGTAACGTACAGAAAAGACCTTAATTTTATGTACTAAAATAGTAGCTTGCAGGAAGAGCAGCAATCACAAATACACAAATTACAACAGCATAAAAATGTGCCCACCAGATAAAGAAGCAGTAAGCAGAATTTACGATTTACTTGTATGTTATTTTATGTGTAACCGTAACCAAGTATTTGGCTGTTGCTGCACACTCTGATTTTACTTATTTTGATGTTTTTGCAAGGATAGCACAGACATTATCTGTTACCTAAAATAGTTCTATATTAAGGACATACATGAGTATAACACTTGAAGTAAGCTAACGAAGTCATGCCTAACTATATCTTAGTTCCACTCTGATGCAGAAGTTATTCCCCGAATTAATAAACACAGTTAAAGTGATACTCATGCATTGTTTCAGGTTTAAGAAAAAAAAAAAAAAGAAAAAAAAAGTGCTTCCCATCCCCCATCTGCTTCAGAAGTGTGCCCACACAACTCTGACCGCCCTGCCGAAGGAGGATTAGAGTTCTTCATTCATATTTTAGTTTGCCCACCCCGCATAAGCCTCCGGCTTTCACGCCTGAAAGCGACAACAGCCCATCCAAAGGCGGCCGCCCCCGCAGGCGTTCTCCTCGACGCGACCGGGCTTCCCTTCGCATCCCACTCTCCAGCCGGGCCCATATCGCGATTTTAATGAATGAGCAGCGGAGGGAAACACCGTTTGGAGCTAGAGTCGGTGCCCGGGGGGGTTGCAGGAACCTCCCCACGGCTCCACGCCGCGCTGGAGCGGGGGGAGGCCCCGCTCCCG